CTTCTTGTGGTATTGTTGGTAAGTTTTTAGACTTGTTAACACATCACAACCATTCTAGGGCATATGCTAATCACTCCTCGGACCAGCATAGTTGATCAGGCTATGCCATTCCCAGGACTGACCATATATCCCGAGCTTACCTGTGATATTTAACAATCGTAATACTTTTGTTCTTGTCGTTGTGACACTGGTTTTAGTATGAATGTAGACTAGTATACTTAATTAAATATTTTAGTATTTTAAGTATAGACTCTTGGTCAGAGTGTTTTAATCCCAAATGGGTTTATAGTTTAGTATATCTTTTATGGGTTGATATACTTGATTCACTATAAACAATGCTCTGATACCAATCTGTCACACCCAAAACCAAGAACGGCGGAAACGTTCTGGGGCGGAGGACGTCATGTAAGTATCACAACACAGTAAATGTAAATAAGCAAACAACATCATCCATTGCATTAAATATATAATTTTAATACAAGTGTGTTCTGTACATTGTAGACACCAAAAATAACGTATATCAAAATAATAAGATGAGTCTTGAATGCGCTCCATCTTCTCAAAAGCTGGCCTCGGTACCTGTCTACTGATGACCTGAGAATACAAGTTATTTTGAAAGAGTTTATCAGCATTAAGCTGGTGAGTTCATAAGTATTTTAGTGTCGTATTGTCATTCAAAAATGTTTGAACATGTATCAAGTATAAGTTTGTAAAATGTATGTAAAAGTTTGCAATTGTTTGTAAAAGTTTGAATCTCTCAGAAAAACCTATATTTTCTATTAAAGAAGCCTTCTACCAAGGCTTAACTGTTTTGTATGTTCGTTTGATGTAAAAGTGTGTAATTTCCCAAATGTAACTATCATTTAACAAAATATAGTTTGTACATAAACGTTTAAGTGAGGTTATCACTAAAATATGTAATGGGTAAATTAATGTAGTACTGTAGCCTTGTATTATAAGAACTACTGCGGTACTAACTACCTTAAACCGGATTTATATTAAGGCATTACGTGATAAATTGCACCATACTATCGACTAGTAACAACGACAAATGAATGGTCGTAATAACGGAATGACGTTTGGCACCCGCAGACCTGCAGGTCCGGCTGTAGCTAGCAGCAAGGTGTAGGATTGTCAATCCAGTATAGATCTATACGCAAACTCACGCTCTCCCTTCAAGAGAATTCTGGCTACAACTCGAGCCATGACAGTTAAGTCATGCTCCGATTTAAATCACAATAATAAAGTATTCATGTATATGTACTGTTTCTCGTTCTAGTATATGTATATGTATTGTTTCTAGCATCATTGTATATGTATTGTTTCTAGTATATGTATATGTATTGTTTCTAGCATCATTGTATATGTATTGTTTCTAGTATATGTATATGTATTGTTTCTAGCATCATTGTATATGTATTGTTTCTAGTATATGTATATGTATTGTTTCTAGCATCATTGTATATGTATTGTTTCTAGTATATGTATATGTATTGTTTCTAGCATCATTGTATATGTATTGTTTCTAGTATATGTATATGTATGTGTTACCCCGATGGTAACTAACTATTGATGTACTGATAAATATGAATATGGAAGTACTTTTATGTCTATACATGTATATATTATATAACTAATGTTGAAACGACTTTCGGATGGTCACCCGAAGTCCCAGAAGTGCCGAAAAGGAAATAGGGCGGATGGCCTTCCTAAGCCCTTTAAACATTACTTATAGGGCGGATGGCTTCCTAAGCCTTTAAACATTACTTATATATATATACATATATGGGCATGCAATTTATAAGAGTAAACAAGTTTAATAAAAGCATTTGATAAGTAAAAAGAGTTTTAAACATTTGAAGTGAAACAGTTTGATAAACAGTTTGAACATTGGTAAAAATCGTTGTTTTCCTAGTTATTAATCACATGTGATTAAATGAATCACATGTGATGAAGCAAT